GGGGGGGGGGGGGATAGCGCACGGGAAAAAAGAAAATAAATAGGTTTTCAGGCATTTTCTGTTTTTCAGGATTTTCTCTCTTTTGTCATTTGTCATTAATTGGACTTATGGTTGGTTGGAGCTGTATTGATGAGTATTAAAGATGCATGGTGATCTGAGGCGGATGCAGTGTATTGGTGGTGCCGGGTTCATCTTAACCCGGTGCTTTTATATGTGTAAAAATTTCCTTAAAATTGCATTAAATTGTAGGTATGAATCTCTGACTTTAAAAATACAATGGATTCAATGCTAAAAACCTTAAAAATTGAATGCATGATTTAGTAGTTCTGTGTATTTTCTGGTCGATGATGGAACTTTAGGTTTGCTCTATAAACTAAAAAAGGACAGTTATTTGGTAGGTGATGGGCTATTGTTATGTTATTGATTATTAATTGTTTGAAGCTGTATGTAAACCTGGTACGCAAAATGACAACCTACCCTCTTCTTTATTCCTAGCTCCCATCAACCACCTTAGTACCAGTATGATTAAATTGTCTTGTTAAAAAATCAAGTCTTTGTATGGCATGTTTGGCCAGCTTGATTGATTTGTGGTTTAACTTGAATTTCCATGTTTTTAGTTATAATCTGAGCTCTGTAGGTTAACTCAATAGTAGTAGCCCATTAATTGTTTACCCTTAAAATTGGATAACAATTAAACTTATAATGTGGTTTTAAGGATATGTGATTTCACCTAATATCAATTGATAGATGCAAAGAGTAATAATAGAAATTAACAATATTATAAAGCAAACCAGTGTTTGAACGGAATTCAGCCCTCGAGTTGAATACCCTCGAACTAATTTGTGCAAGAACAGTTAAAATATAACAAACTGATGAACAAGAATATGAACTATAGAAAAGGTGTTATATTGCTTTGATATCTCAGAGTGTAAGGTGTCTACAAAATGATTAGGACCCTCTTTATATAGTAGAGGAATCCTATCTATGGTACAATTTTAATTACGGAAGTAAATCCTATGATTAGCCTAAACACTTGTCTTTGATTTGATCCGTTCTGAGATTCCCGCCATGATCTTCAACCAGTCATGGATATCTCGCTTTCCTGTTATTGTGCTTTGCTCAGAGTCTGCCCCGTGTAGTCTCGATCGTTGCCGGCCTCGATCTCGGCAAGCACTTCGATTCTCGAACTCGGTACCTTGTTTTCGTCACTTTGACCTGCTCCACTATGAGGCTAACCCTCGATTCAACTCCCTGATCTCGATCAAATAGTAAAATCGTGTCGGCCCGATTTTAACCGTATACAGTAATATATGTTATTTTGATGGAGATTTGAATAAAGAAGAAGAAATCTTGTGTGCTTTTGAGAGAGCATAAAATAGCGTTGTATGTTTTGGAAGTTATTGTTTTGGGTGGGGGGTGGGGTTGGGGGGACCATAGAGTTGAAGACTAATGTACCTTCGAAAATTTGATGCCTCAAGTTTGGTAGCTTGAAGCTGCTTGGTGTTTACATGAGAGTTTGAATATCGAAATAAATTCTGGGCAAGTTGCTTGAATGGATATCGTGGAGTTGCGTAAGATGTTAAGTTGCCAACTATAAATGGTATTAAAACATTAATACTGCTTTATGCACTAAAGCAGTCATTTTAAGGGATCAAGAGAAAATATCAAGTTCAAATTGATTTATCTGCCTCGCTGCTCTATCATGTTATGGGTGTTCTGTATTTTATTTTAATATGTTATGCTTTTCATTTTTTGGTCAATTGTGCAGCCTGCTACTCGTCTTTGTTGTTTCACCGGATTATGCCTAGGAAAAATTATGTGCGGATAAGCAAATGGCTGTTCGAGCTCAAGCTTTACCAAATAGAAGCTTAGAACAAACTTCCACCTGCTTTGTGCCTCATTTTGCTGTCAATAGCTCAACATGGTGGAGTTCCAATGAAGTGCAGTCTTCACAGTTTCTACCGAAAAATTTAACCTCAGAAGTGGTATTTCAACCTCCGCCCTGTCAGCAGATGAAGCCTCTTGGTCTGGGATTACAAGGCGACGACTCATACTCCACCCAATCAAATAGTAACTCCCCGCTAGAAGTGACTGCTTTGGGGAAAACAGGTTCTCAAGATCAATGCGCTTCTTCTGGATCTGGTAATTACTTGCAGATTATTAAGTGAATCTTTTCGGACTTTATAGTAGTGTAATCATTAATGACTGCTGTTAGTAACACTTCAGTAAGAGTGGATTTTCTGGATCCTTTGTCTTAATTGGTCTGAGAAAGCACATCTCGACTTGTTTAGATGGTGCTTGCTTAACGTTTATACATTTGCAGCATGATCTTTTATACGATAATGACTCACTTGTGCTGACAATGGCTGAATTCTATATATGAAAAGCTATTTAGTTTAGTGCTGATAGCTTTATCAAAACAGAATTTGACTTTTTCCTGGATAGTTTATTTGCTATTAGGAGTGGAGTATCTTACGGCTTGTTTTGCTTTCCTCAGTTCACGACGAGAGCTACAAAAGGAATAAGCAAGCTCAAATCAAGACTAATCCTTTTATTAGATATCCAGAATATCCCACCGATTGTTCACAAAGTGAAATGGCCCATTCAATTGTAAGTTCCTGCTATCCAAGGATATTTTGCTTTAACATTTGTATTAAACTAATCTATCAAGATTTAATGTTGCAGAGCCACGCTCCTTTTGGTTACTCCGACCCCTATCTCAGTGGCTTTTATGCTGCTTACGGACCTCATGTTTTTGTGAGTATTGTAATATCATATTTGCCTCTCGTGTTGCTTATTTTCAGTTTCTTTTCTTTTTTCCCTACTAGATCACTTTTCACAATGGCCCTTATATATTAAATAGAAGGTGATCCGTTAATGTTTGTGGTCTTTTTGACATATCAAGTCTTGGTTTATGGATATGAGAGAAGGCTAAATGCACTTTAACTCTTTTATGTTTTTGCAATGACATCGTATTGGCTTGTTTTTCTTACCTTACTAAAATGCAATTAATCTTGATTTTCCTTTTATGTTCCTATCCTTATGTGCATGATGTTTTACAACTTCAAGTTGTTTGATTTTGCTAAAACTGTACTTCGTCCTTAGTTAACCTGAAAGAGTGCATAAGCCATTGTATGTAGGAATTATCATTGTTTTGCGACTTATATGTGCACTATTTGTATTCTGAGTCAAGCTTTAAACATTTGATTCAATCTGTGCACTAGGTGATGTATTTGCTCGGAAAGGAGAATAATAATGAATATTGTATTTTGATTCGTCCAGTCTCAAAATAGTTTTAGTTCTGACATTTGGTCAATTCAGCCTCAAATGATTAGCATAGCGCCTGCACGGGTCCCTCTACCCCTCGATCTTGCAGAAGATGGACCGGTTTATGTAAATGCGAAACAGTATCATGGGATCTTAAGGCGAAGACAGATGCGTGCTAAGCTTGAGGCTCAAAACAAACTTGTCAAAGCTAGAAAGGTATATGTTACTTTTCATCTTTTCCCATGTTTTAGTAGTGAAGCAAGTTCAAATCTGTTTGTCTGAGTTGATTTTCTGCCAATGCACTATGCTGAGACACCAATTGGGGAAAACGGATAGACTGGAGAGTTTCTTCACATTTACTGGGGATGTATGATTATGTCAATAGGTACTTGACTAGAAGGTTTTATTTTTGCCTCTCCGGAGGAGGCTAGAGTTTTCGGGTTATGTTGTGTTTAGAGTTTCTCAAGCTGGTTAATAATGCCTATCTAGTCTAACTAGGAAGATATAAAGGTTTTTAGTACCATGTTTACAGATTGAAGCAACTCAAAGTGTGAAAATAAACATCATGCAACTGTGCATGTAGTGTAGTCCCTGCCAATGGTCTCATCTATTATAAGCTTAAACCTACCTTTTAGCCAATATTATAAGCTTAAACTTGCTATAACTTCTAATTTTCGATCTACATTGGGCTTAATCAGCCTTCACAAGGTAGGAGGTTAGGTCTGCCTACGCATTACACCGAGTCTCTTGTTGTTGTCGTATTGGGCTTAATCTGCGTTCATTTCCCTTGTTGACTGCATACAGCCGTATCTTCATGAATCACGGCATCTTCACGCGGTAAAGAGGGTTAGAGGGTCCGGAGGGCGTTTTCTTAGCACAAAGAAGCTTCAAGAATCAATTCCAAACGACTTGAATTCTTCTCAGGATTTGGTTACACGTGAGGCTCACACTTCTGCTTTCTTGAGCGTCCGACAGGATGCTGCGCATAACAGCGTCATTTTCCAGCAGCAGCAGCATGATCACAGGGCCTCAAGTCTATCCTCTCACATGGCTGTTTCCATGCAAAGTAGTAGAAGTACTGGCATTTCATGAACATGGCTGGGACTCAGTAATGTACTCAAAGTTGTCTTGTGATTCAAGTTTCAACTCACCCGCGGGCAATTCATCCTTGGCTTTATACTCTTACTGTTATGTCTTCCTGGTTACTCTAATTTTTTGATAAGGTGTTCTCTAGTTATTCTAATTATCAACTGGATTTTCCACTTTTGTAATGGTGTACTTTTGGTTGAACTCTAGGTGCTTGGACCCAACTTTATGGAAAGTTTAAAAGTTCTCTTGTTATGTTTAATGGCTCGTAGCTATTGCTTTCTTTTTATCTGAAACAACCTCTCTACCTTTAAAGAAGGGGTAAGGTCGCGTATACACTACCCTACTATTAAGGTTAAATTGTTTAAACACAAAGTATCCCTCGGATGCAACTCATAATGAAGTGTAACAACGAGGAGCTAGATCCCCTCCCACCCACCGACCCACCCCAAAAAAAATACTTAATAGAAATAGAAGGAAATGTTCATGTTGTTTAAGGAGTCAGAAAAGGCTGGGCACAAAGCATACTTCAGATTCATAATTGAAGACTGGGAAAAGAAAAGGAGAGCTGTGTTTTTAATTTTCCAAATAGAAATAAGAAAGAATTTTCCTAGGAAAAAATAAACAAGAACTTTGTTGAAAGCTAAGTACTAGTAATTAATATGAGTTGCGTGATGATATGATAGTTGAGATCATTATTTTATGCAAAAAAAGGCACAAAAGTTGGAGCAACTCAAAGGAATAATAAGTATCCCATCTCTATCTATCCAGCACATCCAAGAACTCTTTGACAATTAATTCAGATTAATTATGTGCAATCCTTTGGGGAAAAGAGTGGTGGCCTTTGGGGAAAAAATGGACAACAAATGTATGGTATTTACAAAATTCATGAATAATATATATTTATATATATAAATCCTATTTAATCTATAAAGTGTAACTTGTATTACTAAGTTAAGTGTCATAATTTGATTTTGTTTGGATATTCAGATGACAGCTAAACTTTTATTGATAAAATTGTGTTGCAACTGAGTTTTTTTTTTTTTTTTTTTTTTTAATTCAATTATAATGTTATTGTTTTAAAGCTATGGTATCAACTGGATTTACTTTTATTAGCAAAAGAACGTATAATTTTGAAGAATAAAAGAATCAATAAACTTTTAATATACTTCATACACTTTACTATCATGGTCATGTGGTACCTTGTATGATACTAGTCCATAAATACCGGGTATTATAGCTTGGACCGTATTTTATCCCCAAATTTTCAAACTTCGACGAAATTCATTTTCTTTAATTCGATCACCCTCTAACCTTCACAAATTTACTTATCACTTGTTTGAAATAGTACAATACTTATAATCTTAAAATAATCTCATTCCCGAGCTATATTGATTAAATTACGACAAAACTTTAACGTACGAAAATGCGGGATGTAATATCTCATTTCCGAACTTTTATCAATTCACTTATGGCATACTTTCACATACGAAAATATGGGGTGTAACATCATTCCCCTCTTTGGAACATTCTTCCTCGAATGTTGACTGATGCACTTATCATTTTCATAACCTATGTCTTCCGAATACTTTAGTACTCTCCTTGCCATCTAGGCAACTGTTCTGTGAATAAATCCAAATGTATGGGCATTTCCCTCCTTTAGGCCTCTTTCTCATACCATGATTTGTGGTCGGAATACTTTCAATCTCGTAAATATTGCTACCTTCTATCATGTGGCTTGTACGACTCTGACCTTGTATGTGCGCCTATGGGACTCTTCTCTCCTCTTTCCTCCAGCTTTTAGCCAATCTCTAGGCCTCACTTTTTGAACATATACAAAATTATGATAATTTGTCCCTCTGGGCGTCATTAGCTTTACTACATCTAAGTAGTCTATACTATACCATAACTCTTACTTTAATTTATCGTTACTGTGGTCTGCTACCGAACTCTAGGTTACTCTCGTTGCTTATCCTATATGCATAAAGCTAAGTCCTTTAACTAGGGGTGGACGTTCGGTACTTCAGTTCGGTATTTAAGAATTTCGGTTCGGTATTTCGGTATTCAGTTTATCAATTGTACATATCAGATACCATACCAAAATATTTCGGTACGGTTCGGTATTTCTTATTTTGGTTCGGTATGGTTTCGGCACGGTTTCGGTTTAATACATATTCATGTGTCACGTACTGCTAAGTGCTAAGAGCCTAAGCATTAAGCAAAAGGCAGCATCACTAAATAATCAAATCTACCAATTCTGCATAACAAAAGGCGTGTAAGGCAGCACCGCATCAACACTAAGTAATCTACCATTCTGCCTAAAAAAAAGCCAGCAAGCCAGCAATACTAAATAATCAAATAAGCAAGCTAGCAACACTAAATAATCGTCATTGTATGACAAACTTTCGCCCAACTTACAAATAACGAGTGCAACAGTGCACAATTCAAGTTTAACGAGTGCAACAGTGCACAATTCAAATCTACCAATTCTGCCTAACTCACAAATAACCACAATTCAAGTTTAACACAGTGCAACAGAATTAAACAAAAGCAAAAACTCTAACGAGTAGCAGTAGAATTACACATAGCTCAACAAAAATAGAGAGGACATCCCTCAATTCAAGTTTACACTAATAGTCTCGAATCAACTTAGTCTTAATTCTTAAATACGGATTTCAGGAAGACGCTCAAGACAACGCCTAATATGCTTTCTTAAACAATATGTGTCGTTCCTCTTTGTATGAATATTATGGACTCAACCACAATATTTGCACTCTACTTTGCGAACTTCTCCGTTATCTTCTATCTTCAGTAATAGGTAAACTTTCAGTTGAACCGACATCACTTACTCTACTTTCATCTGCCATCTACACAAAATTAAAACAAATATAAACACAAATTAAGACTAATGCTAACAAATTGAGAACTTGCTCATAGAATTGAACACTTTTGAGTTTTGGGAACAGAATTGCAAACAAATGAAACATGATTTAATGCTAACAAAGGCATCCTCGTAAACAAACCACTATGATAACTTACGAAATACAGACCCTCAATCAGTGAATCTCACATCTATTGTTTGGAAGTGATGCTTATTTTTCGTGAGGGATAATAATATTTCAAGGCTTAAGCTACTTACAAAATAGGATATACAATTAGGGAACATAGGTAAATCATGTTCTATTGACAGAATTAACATGAGTACCTCACAGTAAACATTCATAATTACTAGGTGCTTAAAGCTTCATAATAAATTTTCCATATACAGTAGTCAAGAAATTTCGAGATGTTTACTAAAATAATATTCCTTCTCCAACAATACAGCTATTATTCTAAAAAAACTGAAGATTGAAGAATGAAAAGTTATGAACCTGTTGAAGAGTTGAAGATCGAAGAATAAAGGTAAAAAATGAGTAAACCAGCAGTCACACTTGAGAGTCGTCGGCGCCGAGGTCGTGAAGTCGCCGTGACGTCATCTCTATCGCACTCCCAGACAGCCAGACCGCAGTCGCAGATCTAATTAGGTTTCTCGGTTCTCAGTTCTCTCTCACAGCAGCCGATCTTCAGTACTTAGGTTTCTAATTACTAATGGAATTTTTACAATCCTATGCCATATAGGAAACTATATTACCCTTAATGTTTAAGGTTTGATTTAATTACATTTAATATACCTAATTACCAATTTTATACCATAAGGTGTTTTAACTGTAAATTAATTGTACCTTATATCACTCCTAAATTAAAGGTACCGTATATTCCTCCATATCGCCACCCTCCCCCCCCCC